TGTTAAACTCCCAACACAAAGATTTAGAATGGATAATATCTATATCTAAATTAGAGTACTTAAAAAGGAAATTAAGTTGATCCACTACAGGAACAGACCTGGTCTGCTCTATTCCTAAAAGCCTGAGCTAGATAACCTACCCCTAAAGTTTCAACTTAAATCCAATTGATCAACTACCATTAAAGAGCAAGCAGCTCCACAAAACAAGCCATACCTTCAGGCCACTGTTCCTTAGAACAATTCGGAATATGTAAATATTAACTTGTCATTTATACAGATTAAATCTACAACTACCTTTATATAGTCAAAATGCCTATGTATAATTAGAGCAATTCTCTTTTCCACTCCTATCCCTTACCACAGAAAAGAACACATTTCCATAAATTCCATTGAAAGATGCCACATCAAAACTAGACAATAAAGTATTACATATTGAAATCTGAGACCAAACCAGTTTTTCTTTGTTCAATATGAATGTCAATTAAAAATTAATTTACCATAATGTGAACTAAAGTTAAAACATTAATAACTTTAACTTAAAATATAATTGTGAAGGGGGGGCTGAAAATAATTTTAATAGTAGAAAAAATATGAAAATAAAATTTTAGCGAGTCAACTCAGATCTTCAGCTATACCATGCAACTCTCTTACTCTTATCTTAATACCCAACTAATTAGAGGAATTTGAGTTCTTTCTAAGCCTTTTGGAATAAGTATTTTCCAAAGAAATAAGAATTAAACATTCTAAGGAGCTATGTTCCAGATACTATGCTGACAAAGATGATTAGGTCTAAATGTCTCTCAGATGCTTCTTACCCATTTAACATAATGTCATTATAAAGACAAAATTTATCTTACTTTGTCAGACTTAAAACAAATCCAAAGTTACCACAGTACATGTATATACAAATACTTATTTTCTAACTAGTAGTCCTTTTAAGGATTAAATTCACCTCTAAGTTCAGACATGTTGAATGTCAGTGTGCTCACTGTCAATACATTATTTGAATGCAACTGAGAGTTTTTCTATCAATCATCTCAAACTATAAACTGACTTTGAGTAACTCCCTTCCAATTCTAAGCAAACATTTTCTTGAAAATAGGAGTGCTAAAAGGTAATTTGTTAAAGGGGCGGGGGGTTCCAGTTATTGCACAAATGAATGCAAAGAATCCCTAAAGTTAACAAAATAATCTACTTGCTATATAATCTTTGTTCTTGAAGTACTTTTGTATTAAAAATTCTCTTTCCAGATACTAAGAGTTACCTGGTTTTATGATGTTTTTCAGGGGGAAAAATAAAAGAATACATTACACTATACTTTAGATAACTTACAATGTTCTTCAATGACCTAGATAGGCTAAAACAAAGTTAGGTAAATGAAATTTAAAAATTGAAGGCTTTTGTTTCCTTATACACTCTACTACTATTGATTGGTTCAATTTAATGGCTTTGCTTATTGATAGCCAACAGCATGGGCATTTTATAAAACTAATTACAACATTTAGATTATTTTTCAGTTTGGAAAAGCCTGATATTGACAAAAAGTACAGAATTCACCTTTAAGGCACATGAGGCTAAATAGAGTGAGCCACAAACAAAATTCTCTGCTATACAATCTGAAAACAAGACTTCTACATTTGTAGTGTAACATTTTTAGCATATTAACATATTTCATAAATTTCACAATTTTTAAAGATCAGAATCTGCATGCCTTTATACTATAGGTTCTTTGAATTTTTACTTTATGAGGGGATTTAGCACTTTTAAAAACTCTATAAAATGAGATGTCCACCCAACCATAAAATCAAAATTACAAGTCAGTTTCTGGGATTCAGTAATATCAATCAATAATTTTAAGGACTGAGGAAATGGACAAAATCTCCACAGCTTAAAAAAAAATTAAACACGTCTCATTTAAAAAAGGTGTTATTTTACTCTTAAGTTCTTGTTGGGACAGAATGAACTAGCCCTTTATACTCCACTGTGTATTAAACTACACCGCCTTACTTTAATTCCATTGCAAAACTATAGAAAAAGACATGCCATTTTGTTTAACTCAAGGTTCATACTTTATTAATTTTTTATCCTCACCTGAAGACATTTTTCCATTGATTTTTAGATAGAGTGGAAGGGAAGGAGGGAGAGAGAGAAAGAAACATTGATGTGATTGTGTCAACTGGGTGTCTCCCACATGACCCCGACCATGGCCAGGGATCGAACTCGCAACCGAGTATGTGCTGACCAGAAATCAAACCCACAACTCTTTGTTTCAAGATCCAATGCTCTAACCACTGAACCAAACAGGCCAGGGCAAGGTTCATACTTTAAAAAGCTGTGGTGAGAACTGACAGACTTCTGTGATATCTCTTTTCTTCCATTTTACTGAGATACAATCGACATACATACAAGATCTCAAATAAAATATTTCTGGATAAATCTGAGGGGACTTTACCCTGTTCTCTGTTAACAAGGCTTATTTAGGACTTATATTTAAAAAGAAAAAAAAAAAAAAAAGGATTGAGTTCGTTTTAAATTGAAAAACAAAAACAAAAAACATAACACTGGGTTTGTTTTAAATTGAACTCAGAGATATACCAGCTTGAACGTTATTACTTATACCAAAAAAGAAATAATTCAAACTTAAATTATCTACATGAGGCATTAAAACAGAACAAGAGTGTAGCACATTAACAAAGACAACATCACTTTCTGTCTTTTTCTGCCGGGGTTTTTTGAAAGGGGATGGAGAAAGACTTTGTAATCTCCCTCTACAATCATAAACAAACCAAAGTTGTGTTTCCTTTTTCTTTTAATGAGAGGAAGTTTTCAATCTCCTCCAAACAAACTTTATGAGCTCTGTAATTTATAGTACCATAAAGACAGTTCATCCAGATTTACACACAATTTCATGGCACACTTTACTATAAACTCTCAAACCTTTATACACTTTTAAAATTGGCTTTGTGGTGCTTTGGTAAACTTGTTTAATAGTGATCTAAGTTAAATCTGAGGTAATAAGACTATGTGATTGTTGGGAGAGTAGAGGAATTGGTCTTATTACATCACAACCCTGTTTAGGATTTTCTTTTGCTGGTCACTGTCAAGTAAACTGTTTCCAAGTATTTAACAGAATAAATTCTGCTCTGTGGTCTCCAAAAGGGGCCTGTTTTCCTGGAAGATTGGGTAAAGAGAACAATCGTTCTCTGGAATTTGCTTTTGCTTTTGGTAAGAGCAGACAGAGAATTCAGCTGCATTTGCTCTTCTCTCCATTGACTCTCCCTATACTTGAAAGGGAAAACAACAATGAGGTTGACCCTTCCACCTTCCTCACAGTATTCTGGGGTCTACCCCGTGTTCTCTTTGGGCCCTCTAAGCTGGTTAAGAGCATCAAAGAGGGGGTAAGAGGAAAGTCAGAGAGTCTATTCCAACTGATAACCATATACACATATATATTTTTATTTTTTATTTTAGTAACATTTTAAAGTTTGAATTTAATGAGGTTCAAAATGTTACAGACCTCAGCAAAGCTATACTATATCAATGTTTATCCTCAATTTCAATTCTTTAACCTTCAACGAAGCAAAATGAAACCAAATTTTCAAAACAAATGACTGTAAGCAAAGATCATGCCTTCATATTTAAATTAAGAATTTTAAATTAAGAATTAAGTCATTAATCTTTATCTTAACACGTTACTTGGTATAATTAAAAAGTTAAAAAATGTAGAAATTCCCATCAACCTCTGACTCTAGTTTTAAAAATATTGACTGCAACTTGTATAGTATGATTACCTTCCAAAAGCTATCTACAATTAAATGAAAATTCTGAAAGTCAAAAAAGCAGCTTGATTGTCAGTAGTATCAGTTTCCATCTTCTTTAACCCATGTGAATGATTAAAGATGTGTGGTAGAAGAAAAGGAGTCACACTACTTCGAATGTTCATAACAAACCCTCCATGAAAGCATTTAAAGAAACTCCATTTCACATTTAAAATTAGTTCTACTTTAACCACCAACAAGCTAAGGTTTTGTTCTATTATCTCACTGCTCTATGTATTTCTAAAGATTTATAGGGAAGGTTAGCAGAACTATAAGGGTTTCCTTTAGTTCATTTTGAACATTAACCTGTTCACATGCCAGAAGCTGTTATACCAAATATTTAAAACTTAGAGCTGTGCTGAAAAAAAGTGACCTACCAAAAGAACTGAGAGATATTTTCTGCCTCTATGACAGTTTGACAGCCTAAAAATTCAGAAAGCAGTGAAAAAGTAGAATGAGTTGTTTTAATTGCTTTCTCATTTAAATATTAATCAACATAGCATCAAGTCTAAAATTCAGCTATTAGTAACACTATTTCCTCAGTAGTCATCACGGAAAGGATTCTAATTGTACATAAAGTGAAAAGTAAAAACAAATGTAACAGGAAAAATAGTAGGGCCTGTTTTTACACCTTTGAGTTAATAATAAATGAAAACAGATAGAACTAAACCTAATGAAGGCACTATTGTAAACAGTAATCCACACTCCATCCCCACAACCTAAAAAAAAAAAATATTTCCACTAGAAATTGAGGATTATGCTATGGCCCTTTAGAAAAAGTAAACTAAGAAACTGTCACATTAAGGAAACTGAATTACGATCTCTACACATGTACATGTACTGACATAATAAACTACTTGTCAGCAGTACCTTGAAATCTTCTAAATTGTAAAAGTACTAATATTTAACCACCCTAAAGTTTAAATAGTCAAAACATTTACTAAATCAGTGGTTCTTAAAACTAGTGTGCGGTATAACCTGGTGCTTGTTACAACACAATGCTGGGCCTCTCCCCTGGGGCTTCTGATTTCACTAGGTGTGGGGTGGGGCCCCAGAGTATGCATTTCTAACAACTTCTCAAGTGATGCTGAAGATGATGGTCCAGGGACCACCTGCTGAGAACCACTGGCCTAAATTATTAATGGTACATCAGCACAGCCCTAACCAAAAGTTTGGTCAAGATGCATGTAAACAAATAAGAATAGAATGCTTTAATGCTTAGAAAGAATGCTGATAACTTCACTCTTATTACATCAAAACATCTACATCTGCTTCGTGGTCTTCCTCAGTCACTTTCAAGGACAGCACTTCTTCGTTAAGGAAGAGCCCACTGAGCCTCTCCTTCCGAGCCTGCCTCTGCTCTTTCAGCTGCCTCTTGCGTAAGGCCTTCTGCTGCAACTTCCGTTGTTTGGATCGCTTCTGTCAAAATAAAATTTTCTAAATCAGTAAGGTTTAGTTCTGGTATATCCACCCCAAAGTATTTTATGGATCAACTATATTTTCAGAATTTTTAGAGATGTTCAAATTCCTCTGCACTATGACCCTGGTTCCAGTAAGTGAGCCACTGGTTTAGACTTGAAAATAATTCTTCAAGATTCTATTTTTATAGTCTTTGACCAGTGAATCTTCTGATAAGGAAGGGTTGAAACTTGATCATTTTGACTACTTGTGAATAAGCAATCATTTCAAAGATTTAAAAATCAAATTAAGGTACGTTGGTGTCAGTGCAGAGTGAACACATAGTAAACAATACTGAACACAAATGTAGCAAACATTTCCAAAATCTCTAATGTTTATGCTTTTAAGGTGCCTTTCAACCAAAAGCACTAGCAATTTTACTGGAAAAGAATAATGTATTTTCCATATTAAGCAAATACCATCTTAAAAGCCCAATAGAACCCCAATGGATACTCTATTACTTGTCACTGGTGAACTGATGCTAAAAAGGAATGACAACATACATAGCCAGAGGAATCCCTTGGCAATCAACAAAGCTGGCTATATTTCTGTTATTTTGGTAAAAGCGAGAGAAGGAATCATTGTGTATCTTCTAGTCACCACTAAGTTATCCTAAAGCGTTATAAAGATACCCTTATGCTCTTTACGTTGGCTCCAGATTGTCACCACTACAAGAATTGAACTCCACTGCTAAGCATCACAGAACCATACATATACTTGTATCTCCTATTTTTATATGCCCAATAATATTATACAGCAGACAGAAATTAGAGAAAGCATTATTTATTACATTTTTATAAAAGGGCTAAGAAGAAATATTTAAGACTAAAACATTGAAAAAAAAAACATTTCACACACACACAAGAAAGAACATTCTTAGGGACTAATAGACGGCAACATCAGCAATATAGTGAGACCCGCTCAGTAGTGAGTTGCAGTCAACACTGCAATCCTGAGACTCACTCATTGTTTCCATCAATTTATCTTACTTAAAGCAGACACAAAAATCAGATAAAATTGAATGCTATGTCTGTAGGTCACAACAGTGTTCCAAAGCACTCACCTAAAGGGCTTTGTTCAATTGAACCAGCTGCTTGCCACCCTGCCCCGATGCAATCACCGCAGATTTGGGGAACATTACCAATAGAATGCCTTGGTATGATTATTTCATAGAACCAAATATTGTACAAAAAAAACCATATCTGCATATTCATAATAAATAAAAGAATGTAAGCCAAAAAAAATTAAAATCAAACCCCATAAGCATCTGGATAGCAGGATAAGTTTAACTCTTGAAGAAATTTATATGAGACAGTACTAACGTTAATATTGAAAGGTAAAGTTTTGTATTGATTAGATGTTTTACTTTTGAATCCCGAATCCGCTCTGCTGCACTTGCAGACAGGTTGCTGTCACTGTGCGCTCGACTCATGTTGGCACTGGAGTTTGAAGCGGAGTTTCCGACACTGGACCCACTGCTGCTTGCAGAACTGACCATGCTGGCACTGCTGCTGCTGGCGCTGGCACCGCTCACTCCACTGGTGCTCGCACAACTAAAGTTGCTTCTCTTCCAGGCTTCTCTTACAGGCCGTTGGCGAGGGCTATGCTCCTTGATGTAGTTTCTGACCTTGGAATGTGCAGACAAAAAGTGGTTAGTGCTGTACTTGACACTGTGCCCTCAAAATACCGGAGAAAAGAAGAATGGTGTACGTAAGTTAAAAGACTGTCAAAAGTGTTACAGATATACATAGGTAGAATATAAGGACAAAAAGAAACCTGTTGACAATGTTCAAACTTCTAGAATACATATTATGGAGCCAGATTTTGAAAGCACATAAAATATAATCAGTAAATGAAGGGTTACTGGCCTCCAGAATTTAGGGATATAGGATAATAACACTCAGACACAGAAACTAACAATAAAATAAAATAGATGAGATTTTTTAAATGTCTCTAACTAAAGATGATTTAAATAAATTGCTAATTATATCTTATTATCTCAATGATTCCTTCTCTGGCTTTTACCAAACATTAGGGTGTTTCATAAATCTTAGCTAGGGGCCCATAGTACCTATCTTCAAACAAACGCAAGGCATCAATTTACCATAATAAATAAAAGAATGAAAAATGGGCCGGAATATAGAAAATTATAAATATGCCTGTTGAGAAAAATACTGAAATGAGAAAAATGTTTCCTAAATGATGATAAATGCAAATTTTTTCAAAAAGTAGAACATAAGTATTTATTTGGCTATGTATCAGCAAAAAAAGAGAACAGTCAAAAATGTATTTAGAAGATACCAGAAATGTGTATTTCAAAATAGCAGAAGAAAAAATTAATTACATGTTACCCTAGCCAGGCTCAATTACTCCGTAAGACTAATCCTTCAGTTCAGATATTCATTCAAGTATACCTCTCAATAATCAGTATTTTCATTCTGTCAATTGGTCTTTTATAGGCTGAGTTAGACTAAATCTATACTTTAGTGCAACCAATCCTCATGTGGTGAAATTAAGTTTCAAAGCCTACATAACTAAAAAGCAGGTTCTAGATCCACATGATCACAGAAAGGTCCTGCCAAATGAAATGTACATAAAAATTCTTAAAACCACATGTTCTCACCCTGGCCAGTGTGGCTCAGTTGGTTGGGTGTCGTCCTGTGCACCAAAAGGGTGCTGGTTCAATTTCCAGTCAGGACACATACCTAGTTCTTGGGCTTGATCCCTCCCTGGTAGGGGGCATGCAGAAGGCAGCCAATCGATGCTTCACTCTCACTCACATCAATATTTCTCTCTCTCTCTTTCTCTTTAAAAATCAATAATTTTTTTTAAAAACCATGTGTTCTCAAATATTACCATTTTTCTAATATTACATTTCATAGCAGTGATTTTTTTTACCTAATTATTTATGTCTTTACATAATTACTCAAGTATACATGTTATAAAACAGTGGTATTTTCAAGAGCTGAACAATCTGTATTTTTTTTTACATACCTGCTTCAGTTTTTCATCTGTAAGACAGTTAAGTTCAATAATAAACTCACTGTCTGTAGGGGAGATTTGAGCAGAAGGATCAATTATTTTAATAATATCAAGTTGCTCCCGAAGACCCATCTCAGTACTGACTTTACGACTCAGATACTCAATATATTCCACCTATGTGATGAAAAATTATAATAAACAAGATCAATGCTAAAACCTGATTGTTTAGTGTGTCATTCATAATGTTTTTAAAATATCGATATACTTAATATTATATTTGTTCCCTATAAAACAGTTATAACTCAAATTCGGATTTACTAAGCAATCCATATTTACCTTGTGACTTTAAACAGGCAATAAATTGAGGTTCACATATTCACCAAGTACATGCTTTTAATTAAGAATGCCAAGATCTCTACCTGCTCATCATTTGTCATTGCACTCCAAGGAAGTTCATCTAAATTCCGGTGCTTGTTTTTCTTTTTAGGAAGCAGGCAAGGTGAACTTGGAATACTTGGTATGACATCAGAAAGCACATCACTCCCACTGGCAATGTCACTGCCTGGTAACTTTATAAATATAAGGGTAGAGAAAACAGAACTTGTTTAAAGTACATTTTAAATACCACAAGATATTTTATATTTATTAAAAATTACTTTAATCAAAAACTAATGACAAATACAGAATCAGAAGACATTAATTCTGATTCATTCCTATTTTAGTGCAGCAACATCAATATACTCTTTGTATATAGTTATTTATTCAATGAGAGACATCTTCCAAAAGCTTAAAATCATAATCAAGACCTGTTAAAGCGCTAACTTCAGATTTTTGATTCATAATGCGACTACAGACTGGGCCCACAAAGCATAATGACAAAGGAGCACTGGTCTCCATCTCAGGAGACCTGAGTGCGCTGCCATTACCTGGCTCTTTGCCAGACACTGTGCTAGACAAATAAATCATGGTCTTTGTCCTCAAGTCTGTATTAATAATCTCAAGGCAATTAAAATAATTTAAAATATTTCCTTAATATAAAGTAAAACATTTTAAAGACCACAAGTATTATAAAAGAAAAATTACAGGAAAAAAGAGTGAGACAACATGTAGGCAAAGGAGAAATGCAAGTAAGCCTAATACACAGAAAATCAAATCAGTTTAAAAGTGAAATCAACAGCAAAAAGATGTGCTATATTTTTGTACTGCCTATTAAAGGCCAGTTAGAATAAATTTTAACAGCTTTATTGATTTATAACTAATATACAAAGAACTGTAATACATTTAATGTATACAATTTGATGAGTTTGGACATATACATATACCTTGAAACCATCATCACAATCAAGGTAATAAACATATATCCATCAACTCCAAAATTCAGAAAGGATTTAATTTTAAGTAAATGTATTTAAGACATTCATCAAAAAGATAAAATATTTTATTCTACAAGGAGTACATAACAATTATAGAAAATAATGCTGTTGTTTTTACAAGATACAGAACAGAATTTTGTTGGTGTTGGGTTTTATAGACTTTGCAATTATATCTGAACTCTGGATAAATACCAACCAGGCTTTTGAAGTTAACAAAAGAGAAAAGTTACTTTTGCCATGAAATTACTGCAATCACATGTATTTGGCTTCCTATTGTACTCACAGAACTATAATAGGTACAGGGAATTCAAATGAGTGTAAGTCATGATCCTCACCTAAGAATTTTATACTCGAGTACATAATACAGTAACAAACATACAATTATATGACATAGAAAATTACAAATGTTAGGTTGGAGATGACAGATCACCAATGGAAAGTTGTAGCAGCAAGTTAAAGCTGCATGATTAAAACTTAGGAGAGTTTCAAGGCGGGCAAGCATTGGGGAGTCAATCGCATAGAAGAGAGGAACTAAGCCACAGAAATAGGGTTGATCACTATGCAAGATGATCTTGATGTGTAGAAGGAAACTAAGTTAGTTACTACTGTTAAAAACCACATTTTCACTTTGACGGTCTGATGAATCCAAGTGCATAAGTAACTTCCAACAATTTGTATGACTTTCTTAAAAATCTCATTAACAGTACTGCTTGAATTGCTCACTCTTAGCCCTAAAGTTATCTATTCACTGTCATGAAAGGATGATTGCTGAACACACATATAAAGGCCATCTTTTTTTTTTTTTTCAGCCTTTAATGTCAGAAAAGAAAATGTTTTACTATTTTCCCTTTGAAAGACTTCATTAAAGATCTCCCTAAGGTTCCTAAAAGAAAATGAGACACTCATCAGATGAAAGTCCTCGCCCCCCTACTTCAAGCTCCTTTTATAAATTAGGTAGAGAAAGAAACTCTCAAAATATCTATACTCTCAAAATAAAAATTAAAAAATTCCATCTAAATCTTTAGCAAATACATGCAAGGTGCCAAGTTATGTTGAGCACTTAAATTTGTGTCTTTAATTCTGTTTATGTGTTTGAGTTAGGAGTACAAAGGCAACTAATGATCCTTTGGCCGTCTTCTGTTTTTTTGTTTTGTTTTGTTTTGTTTTGTTTTTAATGAGAAGTAAAAAGATTCAAAACAGAATTCAAATCTCAACTCCACTGCTCACTAGCCCTGTGATCTTGTGGTGGTTAGTTCACTTCTCTGAGCCTCACAATCTCCCATATAAATTATGGTTAATGCCATTCACCTCAAAGGATTGTTGAAAGGTCTAAATTAGGTAACATGCCTGGCACTTAGGTGGCACTTAATAAATAGGCATAGTTTGCTCTTTCCATCTCTTGCCATGGTTTTGAACCCTTAAAAAGTTAGCACAAACCCTCCGAGAATGACATATACCACTAAAGTGGCTGGGTTACGTTTTACAAGGTAGTCTCTCAGAATGGCAAAAGGAGGTAAAGGAAAAGGCATTCAGGTAAGGAGAATAATTTAGTAAACCAGATGGAAAAAAACACAAGATGAGTTTAAGAAAAATAATACAATTAAAACAGAAAATCGTGCTAGGGATTTGAAAGCTACCAGAATAAACAGAAACGTATATGATAGGTGAAAGTAAGCTGGTAACACTTCCTCAGTAGAAGCAACTTGATGAAACTGGTCCTGAGAGAAGATGAGTTAAAAAGCAGTATAGGGACAAAATAGAGTGAGGAAAAATTGGAAATAGATGGGAACTCTTGTCTGATATAGGCCTTGACTAAGATAAGCAAAAATGGAAAGAAAAATGAGAACAGAAAATGAAAAACAATTTACAAGGCTGTTTAAAACTAAATGGATAAGGGTAATAGTCAGAAGACCGATGTGAGACCGGAAGAAAACTGGCAACATTTCAGTCTACAATCCATCCAGGGTGATGCACTTAAACACCTCAATTTTTAGAGCAAGACACCTGAAGCAATGTTATAGATCTTCTAGTCTAACACCCTCATTTTACAAATAAGGAAAAGTGATGTCCAAAGAGAGTCACACAGTTAGTGGCAACATCCAAAGTAGGACACAAGTCCAGTGCTTTCAACTAAGCAAGGACATCTTGCTTTGCAGGCTTTTGGAATGAGAGAAGAATGGAATTTGGAATATGGAATGACGAGAAGTACAAGTGTCTTCACTACACTCTAAGGCATGTAACAAATCACTATTTTTTTCCCACAGAAACACTATAATTGAAAGTTTCATTACTGATCAAGGACTCAGTACCAGATAACAGGTTAGCATTAAATAATAAGGTCATCCAAGTGGAAATGTGAAGTAATCAATTGGAGGTATTAGATGAGAGCAGCAGATATACATGACAATTAATTGTATGTGCTCCTGTATATTTATTAGACCAGCAGTTTTCCATTTTATAACTGATGATATATTTCAGGATAAAAATGCTTAGTAATTCTCAATCTATATTTTCCATAGACAATAGTATCTCGTATATTTCTATTATAATCGGTAATTGTGACTCATAGGGAGAATTAAATCAAACCTCTGCCAGTATTTACTGCAGTATGCAGCAAAATTTTATAAGTAAGTTCATTTCTGTAACAGCTGATACGTAATTTCAAATTGCACCTATAGGTTTCAAGTGTGACAGCTGAATTACTCACTCTTTAAATTTTCTATGCTTTCTTGCTCAACAATAAAATAATTTCTCAACCTCTAGAACTAGTCACATATATCTTTAATAATGAAAGGACTGCAAGCAAGAAAATCAGCAAAGCAAAATGCTTCGAGACTATTTCAAATGCTAAGATGCTACTTTATTCTAAGGTTAAAATCATGCCTTATTAAGTAGATAGTACTATCTTCCCAGAATCTATTAATAGTTTACATTTACTTTAGTAGTAACTGTTTATATTTACCTTAGTATTAACTGAAATATCTGTTAAAACGAAAGATTTAAACAGATGCAATTTTTAATCACAAGAGAGGTAACATGAATTATTAAACTACAGTCAACAATTTTAAGTCTATATTAATCCTAACACATTTGTAATAATTTACTGCTCATCATTTATGAGGTCCTACAAAAACAAGAGAGCACTTTAAACCTTTCAGCATATTTAAATAGCAAATATCCATGGCAACAGAGTACCCACACTCCAGTTTCACAAGTGGAAAAACACATTACTAAGGCAGGCCTGATTTTTGTTCCAATGTTCTAGTCAGTCATGTACATTATCAGTGAGTGATTAAGGACAGTTCTCCACTCTAATCATGAAATGAGTGAAGAAGTCAGCAATTAAAAAATGCTTGCCACTTTGCAATATTATAAGAACTCTAAATAAGTCACATAAAATAAGAAAAAATGTTTCTCTGAACTATCAGGACTTCATCTGATTACATTTTATTAAGAATCCTTATAGTCTGATTGGAAATACAAAGTGTGAGCTTTAAAAACAAGGCACTGAAGAACAAAAAGGTACCCACACAAAGATGCTCACTTCTGTGTTACCTTAAGAGAAAAAAAATTAAACACATATACACAGGGGAATGACACATCTAGTCTCAGGAATATTATGTAGTCATTATGGGGATCATGAAAAAGTTTATGTTAAATGAAAAAATTTTATTGCAATTATTTTATGCAGAAGAAAAGGGAACACTTCCTAACTCATTTTACGAGACCAAAGTCATCACAAGAAAACTATAGACCAATATCCCTTATGAATACAGATGTAAAAATCCTCAACAAAATACTAGCAAACAGCCCTGGCTGGTCTGGTTCAGTGGTTAGAGCATCAGAGCCCATGGTCCAGAGAGACCCGGGTTCGGTTCCCGCTAAGGGCACGTACCTCGGTTGCAGTTTGTCCCCGGCCCTGGTTGGGGTCGTGTGGGTGGCAGCCAGTTGATGTGTCTCTCTCACATAGATGTTTCTTTCTCTCTCTTCCTCCCTCTCTCCTTCTCACTCTATCTGAAGATGAATGTAAAAATGCCCTCGGGTGAGGATTTAAAAAAAAAAAAATACTAGCAACAAAATCTAGCAGCATGTTAAAAGGTATTTATAATCCCATGACCAATTAGGATCGATTCCAGAAATGCAAGGGTGATTCAACATACAAAAATCACTCAATGTTGTATATCATATTAATAGAA